GAGAGAGAGAGAGAGAGAGAGAGAGAGAGAGAGAGAGAGAGTCGGTGCCTGATTGAGAGAGAAAGTGAGTAAGAGAGAGAGAGGACAATAAGATTTTGTAGTGAATTGGGTATAGAGAAAGAAAGGGAGGAAGCAAAGCGGGAGAAAGCAAAAACAGCTGGCTCGCCAAGTGATGGTGCACTAATTGCCTCTGAAAACAACACCTGCTGATCACACAGTTGCTGATGCATTAATTACCTCGGAACTCAAATACAGCTGCTGTTCACATAATTGCTGATGCATTAATTACCTATGAACTCAAATACAGCAGCTGATCACACAGCTGGTTCATCAAGTGTTGGGCACACTAATTACCATTGTATGACTTGTATTTAAATAGAGCAGTTGGACAGATAACTGGCTCATCAGCCTTGAGTGCACTGGGAACACCTTCGCAGACTTRGACGAAGACAAGACTGGAAATTGTTTGATCGAAAATGTGGGTTTGCAGTCAGTCCTCGAATTTGAGCTCCCTGACATCGGGGTGCGTACTCACTAKACACGTGTGCTCGACTTGATCAAGGGCTGATCGTGCCTTATTAGTCAACCAGGTCGATGCCCGTGACTTGCAACAGATTGTGAGAGTTCTCAAGGCATTGTACGGAACTACACGCTGTGACTATAGGAAACAGTCCAGGGCAGGGCGAGTTGAGCATGTCGCTTACTGATTGATAGTGAACTGCAGACTCACCCCCCCTTCTTATTACATGGCAAGAATTGCGAGACTGTGTACTAGTTAAAAATTTTGCTGATTTTTCCTTGTTGTCCCAAATCTGTGCATTATTAATTCAAAGCAGACCTCAAATCTGCCTCTGTAAATCTGCAAAAGGCTGATACTCGCCTTGAGATAAGCGCGGACTAATCTTAGAACTAAAAGTCTGTGCTTTTGTTTCCCTTTATTTATGCTCAAATTTTCCATTTATTCGGTCACGCCATGATAGCCCTCCGGCTGGGCATTCAGGTGGGTTGTGACAGGGGAGATTTGCACCCCACTCCCTGTTGCGCCGTTGAGGACCTCTGAAGCGCGGACAGTGAAGTGACAGGCACTGTACCGCTTGGCTTCAGCGACGAACAGGGTCCCCTCCCCGGGTTTCCTAACAACGTGTCGATCTCTCTAATCGGTCGACACGCGGAGCTCTTCCATACCACTTACCGTTTGAATGCGTGTGGACGTCGTCCAATCGTGACAGTAATGCTCTACTACTAATTCCTCAGGGAGAGTCTTTGTCAATCCAAGGAGGGGATTACACGTGTCGCCGTCAGGACACGTGTCCACTATTCCTGCATCAGCAAGCGTTGGGGARGGGAAAGGGGGGRCGATACATGGAGGGGTGGCGAGGAGGGTTGATAGGTAGCGGGGGAAGRAAGCTCTCCATTCCGGCCACCATCTCCTGGAGTTCCTGATAACGAACGATCCGGTGGAAGCGGGGGAATCMGTTGCCTGTGTGAGGGAGGGACGCGAGGTAGTCGGGGTAGAGGGTGGTGARGGTTCGAAAGAGGGCCGCTCGAAAGTGATCGTGGTTCTCGCATGCAGGGATAGTCCCCGTAATCATGCAATATACCTCGATCATATTGTGGCCTCGCCACGTGGCACTAAGGAAAAGGATATGGAGGCAGAAGACAGGTTGGGCGCATCGGGTGGAAGGGTGGGGGTGAACAGTGACAGCGAGACGGGTAGTGTAGAAGAAGTGGAAGGCATCGATGGGGAAAGGATTGGCGGGGAAGGTGACGCGGATGGTGATCTGGCGGAAGGAGAGGTGATCAAGGGGACGACGGGATAAGGACCGGGGACGAAGCCCGATGCCCCGCATCGGTACGTGGACGAGTTGATGGGCGGTCGGTGGTGGAGGGGGAGGGGGATCTGCTCCGTCGCCGAAGTCTCGCCAGCTCCATCCTCGGGCTTAGGCGACTCGGGATCCCAGGCCGGATTGTCGATGAGCGGCTGGCCGGCTATGCTGGCGAATTCCAGTTGTCTCTTCCCGACCGCGATTTCTTCCCTTTTTTGCGCCTGGGCTTGCGCCCCAGCCTCGTCACGCACTTCCTCCTCAAATCCTTTGTACTCTGACTCCTCTACTTCCTCCTGGGACCGGGCTATCGTCGCTCTGCGAGACGATCTCAAGAGGGATATCGTCAGCCAGCTGTGCAAGAGGGACCGTTAACTCGTGTACGATCGGTTGGCGGTGATCAGGCCGCACCGATCCGAAGAGGAATCCGAGCAGATCGCCTTCGACTTTCGTTCGCCACGCCTGGATGATAAGCAACTCGAGGTACTCGGCCCGCTGGCGGTGATCTCTGTGCTGCGTCCACGTGACCCTTACTCCCACCAGACACACCGATAGCTCTATGAAGTGCTCTCGCCAATGTCTCCACTGCAAGGGGTCGAGGAGGGGGACAACAAGTGATTCCAGACGAAAGGAAAGACGCGGATGGACTCCGGACTGCCAGAAGGTGGAAAAAAAGGAGGGGAGGTCGAAGGTGGAAATCGGGGATGGGTTCATTGAGGACGGGGGAAGAGGATGAGTTCCGGGAGCACCACCACCGGCTCGTGCTGGAAGGTTCGAATCCCGTCGAAATCGACGTCGTCCGTGGGAAAAAGGTTGGCTCCGTGGGGCGTGAGCCAATGATTCCACTCCGCCGCCAACTGCTGTGCCCACAGCCGGAGCCTGATCTTGATAGCTGTATGTCACAACGGACCAATGGTGCTGATGTCGCCACGAAAGGCGACCACCGTAGACACGTGGCTGATTCCTGGAGCCGATCGCCGATGAACTTCTACCGCTTCTGCCAACACAACCGCTCGGGTACTTCCTGCAAAACGAAACTCAGCAGCCGCGTACACTCCCTGAGTACAAAAGAACTGCGCAAGTCGTCGAAGGTCTGGATTGAGCCGCGGATGATGAACTTGCCGAATCGCCGAGATGTGACACCGTGGTACCAGCAACGAATTGTCGAGAGCTCGCTCCGTAAGAAAACTTGTGGCGATGGCGATGGAGACGGAGTAATGGAAAGAGAACGAGGGGGAGACGGGGAGACATACGATAAGCGGTCGTCGTCTTCTTCCGCAGCGGAGGAGGATTCAGACGTATGCGAAGATGGGGAAGGCGGAAGGGGACGAAGGTAAGACACGTGGCGGATGATCGGACGAGCCGATCGGCTGCCGGAGACTTTAGGCGCAAGCCACATGGTGTTCACGCCGTTCGGTCCAAGCTCAATCGTGTGAAATCACCCGAAGAATCGTGGCGCTAGCTTACCCTGGCGAGCACATTTCCTTACCTGCACGATGTCCCCCAATTTGTACAGGGGCCGTGGACCTGCATTCCCATTCCGGGCCTCGTAGCTTCGGACATGTCGGCCATGGGCCAACTCGGTCATTTTCTAGCGTTTTCGGGCTAGCCTGGGGAGGGACCGCTCCATTAACTCTAGGTGCCACTTGGCCTTGTCTCGCGCGGTGGCCCTTGTGGGCCGACGATTAAGCGTTGATTCGTCAGGTAGGCTTGGTATCGAAATGCAAGCAATGCTATTAGTCCTTAATTGAAAGGGGCTCAAACCCGTCGATTCATGGGGCATTCCGCGATGGACCGCTAAGATGTGGTCGACAATATCGGGCAGGGGCCTCGGATCCCGCGTCACGATGTTGTGTCGCAGTGCTGTCTTTATCACCCTATTGGCGTTTTCTACCAGTCCATTAGATTGTGACATGTGAGGCGCGGTGTTCCGTACAACGACACCGTGTATGACCAGGTTCCTTAACACTTCCCCTCTGAATTCTGCCCCGTTATCGGTCAAGATTTCTTCCGCATCCTGGTGCATCCTAAGAAAACGGTTAACATATCGCGCGATTTCGGCGGCTTGTCATGTACGACAGGGGTAGGCCTCGATCCATTTCGAAAAATGGTCGACAAATACCAACAGGATTGAATATTCGCAACTATTAGGACCAGGGGGCACCACGATATCGGTAGTATCCGTACTCACCCTTTGGAACGACCGTTCTACTACCGTTGGAACTATCGACCTTGGTGGCTGGATCGGCGCCTTGTCCACAGCGCAGACTTGACAGTTCACGACGATGAATTTCACATCGTCCCGAATATTGGACCAATACCACTCATTTTTGTCGATTGCTGACTCTGTAATCCGTACGGCAAAATGGGCTGTCGTTTCCTCATGTGCCGTCTTCACCCAGTCGTACCTCATGAACGGATGCGGTACAACCATCCAAATCCTACTGCCGTCCGTTTTCCGTTTTTCTAACCTACCCTCTATCCATCGATAATCCCGAGCCCTTTCGTTAGCCCTCCTCCGATCTTCCTTGGTGAAATCCTGGAGGGGGTTACCCACTAAGGTGGCAATCAAGGCGATGTCGGTCCATACCTCGGCCCTTCGAAACTTCCAGGTCTTTTCCAACCCTTCTGACGTGGCATCCAAAAAGCGAGCTTCGGTCAGGATCTTGTCAACCCGACACTAGGGGCATAACCACGGTTTACTATCATTTCGGTATTGGATGCACGAGCCATGGGCTCGTGCGACACACTGTCGGCAGTCTATCCATTCCGCATACCCTTCCCCGTTAGGACACATGGAGACGGAGTATACGCGCGAAATTGCTTCGCAAAAATAGCAAAATTTATCATGCAGGGAGAGAATAGACGAAGAGGAGATGAGAGAAAGAGGGGTAGTGAGGTTACCTTCGTCACCCATCGCCACTAGTCTGCTTCTTGCCACGTGGGAGAACTGTCACATGTCCGTACTTAGGTCCGTTTGTCGGTTCCGACTCTTTCCACGGAGTGATTTCCTCGGCTTTCGGTACTTCAGCGGGCCTATGCAGACGTGTCAGTCCGTCCGCGTTGCCGTGCCTTTCTGTCTTCCGATGGATGATGTCGAAGTCGTATTCCTGGAGCCGTACCGCCCAATGACCAACCATGCCCGTGTAATTAGTGAGCTTCTTCAAGGTCAGCAAAGGCTCGTGATCCATCACAAGGCGGTACTCCTGTCCATAGAGATACAGATGAAAGTGCTGGATTTCCCAGACTACTGCATAGCATTCGCCTTGGGGTGTTGAGTCATTTCTCCGCTCGTCTGGCACCGTTCGCGACGCGTACTCGATGACATGTTCGCGACCATCGTTCCCCTTCTGTGCTAGAATAGCGGAGATAGCTTCTGGTTGTCAGTCTGTGATAAGAATGAACTGTTTTCGAGGGATCCGGTCGGATCAAAATAGGTGTCGTCGCCAGAGCGTCCTTGAGGGTCGCGAAGGCCTGCTCACACTCCGCGTCCCAACTGAGAGGCTGGTCCTTTCGTAACAGGTTTGTTAATGGTCGTGCAATCGCGACGAAGCCCTTGATGAAACGACGATACTACGATGCCAATCCTAAGAAGGCTTGAACATGCGTCAGCGATGTGGGAACCGAAGCTTCTCTTACCGTCGCGCCTTTCTCGAGTCAGGCCGCAGTCCTCCACGCGTCACGATGTATCCCAATAACGAAATTTTTGAAAGGAAAAATTCGCTTTTTTCGAGTGCGATCTTGAATCCAGCATCCCTCAGTGCTCCCAGCGTCCACTCAATGTGTTGTGCATGCCCGTGATAGGTCTCCGAGTAGACAAGGATGTCATCCATGTATACGATCACGCAGAAATTGATCATTCCCTGAGTTAGCCGCGTCTTGTTGACGAAGTTCTGGAATGTCATGTTCATCGCCTGTTGAAACGTGGCAGGCGTGTTGCAAATCCCCATCCGACACCGAACCCACTGCCACGTTCCCTCAAACAGCACGAAGGCCGTCTTCGGCCTATCTTCCTCCCTTACCAGAATGTGATGGAAGCCATGCCGAATATCAAACTTACTAAAATAATTAGTGCATCCAATCGCATCCAACAAATCATCAATCCGGGGGAGGGGATACACATCTTTAATCGTGATTTCATTCAGCTTGCGATAATCGATGCATATGCGAATTGATCTGTTTTTCTTCGGTACTAACATTATGGGAAATGACCATGGTTTGGTGGCGGGTTCGATCCACCCACTGGCTTCGAATTCCCGAATTCGTTCAAGAACCTTTTTTCGTTCTATCAGGGAATATCGGTAAGGCTTGCAGTGGATGGGGGAATGATTTCCCTTCTGAATTTCGTGTTGGATAACCAACGACAAGGCAATGTCAGTGTCGGTTATAATAATTGCTCCCTGATATTCTATCAGAATATTTGCAATTACTCGGTGTATCTCATCAGGTACGTATTGTGGAACGTGTAACTCAAAAGGCTGGTCCCAGATTCGTACGTCGATTTGCTTTGCGCGTGCTTGTTTCGCCACATCGGGTGGCGCAGAAATGAATGAATGATCCGATCGCCAGGAGAACACCGTGGCCATCATCTGGGCATCTTCCTCCCGGATGGCCACGTGTCCTTCCGTGGTGATCCCGTCGCAGATATCTTGCCATGGCACCGTTTTAGTTGCGATCTTTATTCCGAGTTCGTCTGATTCGGCCTCGAGACGCCCAGGGGGTTCCAGAGAACTCGCCTCCGCCCCCAGGCGTAACAGTCGTACCTCTTTTGCAGGTGTCAATAGGGACTTGGGTAGATCCGTTATATCGCAATAGTGTTTCTTGTCGTTATATCGGGTGAGGAGAGGGGAGATTCCTTCGTACAGGGTTTGAGGGGGTTCCAAAGAATCGACCATCCTCGAAATCTGTATGAGGGGTTCACCCAAAATCATCGCCTTGGTTCGTTGGATGTTCCGATTAGTTAGGTACATTGTTCTTGCGATCGTTCGGGGCGGCGGGTAACAAATACGCTGTCGCACTAGCTTTAAGATTTCCGAATCATTTTCGTCACTGCTATCCGCATCCTTCGATTATGGCTCATCGTCTTCCCAGGCGATCATACGGAGAGTCCCCGCTAACATCGGCGAAACTTGCAGAACTGCGTTGATGGTAGTACGAAGGGTCGGTCTCATTGGTACAACATAGGGCTTTCCTCCTGTATTTCGGAGGATGATTGACCTTCGCTCGAAGTCCTGGTTCGCTCGTAATGCCACAAGAGCGGGAAGTCCGAGAAGAACGTCGTAGGTATTTACATCTAACACCACTACATCTCCCAGCGCATGCACTTTTCCCAAAATTGAATCGGAAAGCGACATTGGTCATTCTTCCCACTGTTTTAATCTTTTCTTCATCTGCCGATACGAGATGATATTTTTCCGAAAGCATGATTAGGTCGTTTTTCCTACCTGCCCTCTCAACTACTCTCGGCGAGATAGCCAAAACAGCGGCTCCCGAATCAATGATTGCATTGTATGAAATTCCCCAGATTTCGATGTCGCATTCCACAGATTTCAGAGAGATGGGTTTAATCCGTAGAAAATGATCATCTTTCTGTATTAGTCCTACCCGTATTGGATCCGATGTGCCAGTCGCGTTTTCGTCTGGCGTGGGGCTTTTATGTTTGGTGTTCGAGCGAGGGCGAATCGTTTCCGATTCGCCTTGCAGTGTTGTAACATCCGTTCATTAGCTTGTTCAAAGATCGAGAGCAAATAGCCGATCGGGAGTGGAATCCGAAGGTCCAAAGTTTGGACGATGTTCAGTACATCAATTTCCCCAGTGATGAAAGTGGGTCCTCCCGACTCCATTTCACCTGGAGAGGGTCGCCACTCCGCCACTTCTTTCTATTCTGGTGCCAGCCTGATCGTTCCGATCATTCTGAGTCCGGGATAGCCCATCAATACATACTGATCGAACGGAATAAGCTCAGCAGCTTCTTCCGTGGTCGCTACCGCACTTCCCACACCTTCCATTCTTCCATGAGAGCTCCTACCCTCCCTGGTTCGTTAGCGACAGGGGCCGCTGCCACTGGTGCGACCCCGATCCGTTGTTGCGGGGGTCGGTGGGGGCAGTCACGGGCTAGATGCCCTGGTTGATGACATGCATAACAGACATTCAGATTGTTTGCGGCTCCCACGAGAGCAGGCGCCGGGGTCAGCCCTTGTTGGATTGGAGGGGCGCGTACTGCGATGGGCCGCATGTTTCTCATCATGGCTTCCAACCGAGCGTTGTGCTCTCGTTGTTCCTTTTCGCTTTTCTGGATTAGACTAATCAATGTTTTGGTCAGTTCGAATATGGCAGCTGATTCGTTCGATCGTACGAGAGTCTCAATTGGGGGCGGGGGTGCCGTTCGTACATGTGTCGGCATCACAGGAACAGGGACACTCGAGATTTCACTTGGAATCGGATGTTTAGGGGCTATCTGTTCTATGTAGGTGACAGGACCCGACACAAACCCCATGTTTTCGAACTTGTTTTGTAGCGCAGCCAGTTCGCCTTTTGCTCTTGCGAGTTCGGACGAATCTCCCTCCCTAGAATAGTCTTCTCCTTCCAACCTCCAGGAATTTCGCCGCAAACTTCTGTTCCATTTCTTCTGCAGCGGCCACGATGTGTTGCAGCGTATGATTGATGGGGGAAAACTGCTTTTGCAGCTTCGCCCTTATTGTTCGACTGCGGAGTCTGTCTATGAGCAGATCTCTCCCTACTTGCTCGCCTCGCTCAATTTTCACAAACATTCAAAAGAACAAGTTTCGATACTTTGCAACGGATTTGAGAGGTTTTTGCACTCGGTCCTTGATCATGTAAAGCGCTTGCTCTGGGTGGACGTAATCAAATCGATTAAGAAAGTCTCGTTCGAAGGTCTGAAGATCGACCCATACATAGGTACTAAACCAGTGATGAGTGTCTCCTCCTAATCGAGCGGGGATGTTTACCTGATCTTCGTTATCGTCATACTGTTGTGCTCGGAGCGTGGACAACCATGCTCCTGCCAGGTGGTGCGCATGATCAAATAGATAGAGATCTGGTGGCGTCATGGGAGCCCGGGCTCGTGGGGCGGGTTGATTAGGATTTGGTTGGTTAGCATTCTGCTGCGGATTCGGGTTTTGTATATTAGCAGCCTTGTGGGTTGCCCGTCAGTTAGCTGATCTGCTTCGAGTGACGATGGGGTCACGTCTATGCGAGTTCCGGGGCCGAGGTCGCTCTCGGTTAGCCAAATCACCGAATTAGTGTGCTATTAATCCTAAAACCCGGCCACGTGTCGGGCTCAGATACCAACCTCACGCCCAACACGACTTCCTGATCGGGGTGAGATGTGGGCCTGGAAGTGCGAAAAGGGGTGTGCCAAGGATTTTTGGGCAAAGTGGAGTCCCAGGTCAGAACTGAGATCTCCTGTGGCAGGGTTCTTCGGGGGCACGAGTGCAATTTGGCAGAGAGGGCGGG